TGAGTGTACCATGAACAAATGAAAGTCTGCCTCCTAGTTGATCTTTGCCATGAGTGCTCCAGGGCCCACCGTCCGAACCATGCGAACCACCACGTCAAGCGACAGGTACGACACCTGACAACGCTCGTCAGAGATATCATCATTCACCGAACCCCCATGTAAGTATGATAAGTGATGAATTTTCTTTGCTCTTTCTTGGGGACAACCCCCAAGGGGAACACCCGCAGGTGTGGAAATGGCGTGACTATAAAAGAAACCGCCCAATGCCACTTCCTTGCCCAGCTTTTCATGCACCACTGTGGGATGTTGCCGAAGAGAATGGAGGTTTCCGACATAACATGGCCACTGCCCGATCCCAATGAGAAAACCTCATAATAAACCCCTCAAGCAGCAACACCACCGCCATCTGATTCCTAAAGCGGCTTAACCAAGGGCGCATCACAACGGCACCCACCGGCGTCGATTCTGTCGTCCGACTTACCGCACTTAAAACACTTTTAGGTGAGATGGGATCCCCCACATCACAAGCACTCATGCTTAAACTTGCAGCCCCCACCTCATTTTCTGTGGCTTTTGCTAAACTGCCAACAGCAACCAAGGCTACGTTGAGAGGCTGACGTGGACTGGGAACCAATTGTGCAGGCCTCCATTAAGAATGGACAAAAGACCCCATGATGCGTGCCTGGGTGAGTCATAATAGCCACCCACAGACCAATGTCCATCTGTTTCATCTGGTAGATTGGCGGACCACGAGATGCTGGTGAAACTGTTTAATGTAACACCACAACCCCAAGCCCCCATATACCCAACAGAAATTCAAAATTTGGTCCTGCTAACTAAAGAGGGCCTGGAAAGTCGCAGATCACCTTTCAGCCAGAAAAATGCCAGGAGTCCCTGATGTAGCAATCTCCTGACTCACAGACATGGACAGCTGGGCCTGCGAGTTGGGGCTGGGATCACGATGCCATGAGCCAAGGTGGAGACTGCCCTGCGACCTGCGGTCATGGACAGCTGGGCCCACGACTTGTTGCTTGGGCTCCTGATGCCAGGAGCCATGGTGGAAACAGCCTCATGACTCCCAGGAGAGCCTGCGGCCTGAAAGTTGGGGCTGGGCTCACAATGCCATGAGCTGAGGTGGAGGCTTCCCTGCGACCTGCGGCCATGGACAGCTGGGTCCACGGGTCGGGGCTGGGTTCTCCTGATGCCAGGAGCCATGGTGGAAACAGCCTCACAACTCGCAGCAGAATAGTGCCAGAAGGACTGTAGTGGGCCCGACACCACAAAGAGCTGTGACAGCCAGGTGGGGTGGTGGTAACTGCGGCAGCAGCCTGCAGGCAGGAGAACTGAGCCTGCAGCTGCTCCTAAGAGCTTCAGCTCTGAGTGCATACAAGATGCCTTCAAAACCCATGCCCTGGCTATTGCAGTTGCTCAGGAACAAGTGAACTGTTTTCCTAGCCGAATATAAAGTGGCTGAGGTATAAGGTAAGATGGCTCCCTGTTTATACAACTCCTCCCCTTTCATATTTTTGGACCTCCTCTTGGCTCCCACTCCACCCCCTCTAAACTATACTGCACTTCCCCACACTCACACATGCCCCTTTACCCAACTAGCTTCGTCCACCTCCTCAGCTTCTGGCTACGGAGTATAGGAAAGGAGTCAGCATGTTGGTGTCATGGAAGAGATTTGCAAATCAGTGAAGAGACCGGGCAA